ATTCCCATGGAACTGGAGTCACAGACGGTCCTTGGTCACCATGTGGGTGCTGGAAATAAAACCTAGGTCCTCTGCAAGAGTAGCCAGTGCTCTTAACCGCTGGGCCATCTCTCTAGCCCTATACTCCGCCCCCTTTTTTTTTGAGATTCTCTCCCTGTAGCTCCAGCTGGCCTGGAACTCTATGTAAACCAGGCTGGCTTTAATCTCACAGAGATCTGCCTGCCTCTGCCTCCCGAGTGCTGGGATTCAAGGTGTGTACCACGCCTGGCTGGTGATCTTTCAGTTCCTTAGCAGCCCTTTAAAGACAGTAGCTTCAAACCCCATCAAAATCCTATGTATGTCTGTTGTAAAAGACAGTGAGCTGGGACTGTATCTTGAGGAGCCTGTACCCACACTTGAGTCTGTCTTGCTTTCTGTGAAGTCTTTGAGTAGCCCACACCCAGTGTGTCTTGTCTTTCTTTCTGAATACCTCTCCCCCTTCCCTTTTGCTTAAAGTCTATATTAAGATTTTTTTTTTTTTTTTTTTTTTTTTAAAAAGGGCCTTCCTGTAGCCCCAGCTGGCCTGGAACTCACTATGTAGACCAGGCTGGCCTTGAACTCAAAGAGATCCGCCTGCCTCTGCCTCTGAGTGCTGGGTTTGAAGACTTGCACCACCATGCCCGGCTAAGATAATCTTTATTAAACCCTAACTCTGCTTCACAAACCAGTTCTAAAATATTTTTTTTTTGTATTGAAGCCACAAATCCTTTTTTAGCCTGAGTTAAGATCCCCAAAAGTCTAGGAGAACTCCTCAGGCTTCAGGGGAGACCTTGGAGAACTGTGCCTCCTGCCCCAGCCCCCCAAAACACTGGCAAGTGGACTGAGGCTAATTTTACAAAGTTTTCAGTACCCAAAAGCCTTAAAGATAGTACACAGTATTTTTGTGAGTCAGCTGTAATTAATACTTGCAGTAGAATTTGTGAGCTTTAAATAAAAGGAACTATTGTTTTATCTCCCAAGTTTTGTGGAACTTGGCTAAACTTCATGGCTACTGAAGTTCACTCAGCAAAAAAATTGCTAAGTAGTCTAGTGAATTTGCAGTATTTTCTTTTCTTAAAAAATTTTATTTTTAATATTTTTTTATTCTATTTTATGTATATGAGTGTAATGCTGGAATGCATGTAAGTGCACCCATGTTGTGCAATGCCTGCAGAGGTCAGAAGAGAATTTGCAGTATTTTTGTTTTAGCATTATTATTTGTGGTAATTGCTAATAACATAGTTTTCAAAGTTGTAAAAGTTTGGGTCCAAGGGTTTAATTTTATTCATTTTCAGTATGCTTATATTCTTTGTTCAGGTTTGTGATTAATATGCCTACTTTTTTTTTTTACTATTTTATTATTATTTTAAAAATAAAACCGCCGTCTCTGATGTTTTTTTGTGTGTGTGTGTGTGTGTGTGTGTGTGTGTGTGTGTGTGTATGAGTGTATTGCCTGCATGTATGTGATGTACCCATGTCATGCAATTGCCATGGAGGTCAGAAGAGGGCTTCGATTCCCCTGGAACTGGAGTTAAGGATGGTTCGTACCCACCATGTGGGTGCTGGGAATTGAACCTGGGTATTCTGCAAGAGCAGTCAGTGCTCTTAACTGCTGAGCTATCCCTCCAACTCCTTTTTACTATTTTTTAATTTTTATTCTATGTGTATGAGTGTATTGCAGGCATGTAAGTGTACCTGTGTTGTGCATTGCCTGGGGAGGTCAGAAGGCTCTCCTGGATCCCCTGGAACTGCAGTAACAACAGTTGTTAGCTGCCATGTGGGTTCTGGGAACAGAACCTGGTCTGAAAGAGCAGCTGGTGCTCCTAACCACTGAGCCATCTTTCTAGCTCCATAATATGCTTCCTTTCCATCAACTCTCCATTGCCTGATGAGTTACATGCAAAGCATTGTAGTGGGCAGGTGAGATGGCTCAGGTGATAATGGCCACATGACCACACAAGCCTGACAACCCGAGCTCCATCCTGGGAACCCTTGTAAAGGTGGAAGGAGAGAACCCAGTCCAGGAAGTTGTCCTCTGACCTCGACACACTGTGGCATGTCTATACACATACACTTCCCTCATAACAAACAAACAAACATCCTGTGCAGGGGTTAGAAAGATGACTCAGCAGTTAAGAGTGTATTTTGTTCTTCCAGAGGACCCAAATTTGGTTTCCAACACCTACACTGGGTGACTCACAACTGCCTGTTACCAGCTCTAGGGGCATCTGATGCCTCTGGCCTCCATGAGCACCTGCATTCAAGTGTCTGCACTCAGACACATACACATACATACAATTAAAAAATAAAGCTTAAAACGCTTGTTAGTAGTAGACATTGGGATCTAGTTCATGCTATTCTAGTCAGTGTGTGTAATGTTTCTGTTTCTCAGAGCTGTGTAAATAATAATGTGAGGATACCAAGTCCCTTCAGGTGGTTTTGGGAGGTGATTGCTTTTTATGCAGATGGCATTGGGGGGTGCGGCCTGGTGTGTTCTCCTTTGTTCTCCAGTATTGTAGTGCGGATCTGTTGTTATTTGTTGAATGAATAACTAATAATAAAGCCTCATGCTAACAGGCTTTTGTGGAAAGAAATGAGCCTGACTGTTGCTGAAAACACCAGAGAGAAAGGGGTTGCATATCTACCCAGATCTGGAGATGAAAAACACTTTATTTAACTTATTTATTTATTTTTTTATTTATTTATTTTTGGTCTTTTTGAGACAGGGTCTCCCTGTGGTCCAAGCTGGCCTGGAACTCACTATGTAGACCAAGCTGGCCTTGAACTCACAGAGATCCGCCTGCCTCTGCCTCCCAAGTGCTGGGAATCAAAGGTGTGCGCCACCATGCCCGGCCAGTTTATTTTGTTGTCTGAGAAGGAAAGACTCATAATAACCACTTTTGCCTGACTTAAAAACTGGCAAGGGAATAAAATGAATCGTTAATACCAAACACGTCGCAAATATAAACGTACAGTTAGTTTTCTTCTCTGTCCTTGGCAAAGTGCCTTGAACAGAACAGAATTAGACAGCACAGGTTGTAGACTATTAATAATGAAGCCGAGGCTAAAAAGCAGGGTCTGACTGACGTGTTCACAGTGTTGAGTAAAAGGAGAGGCGCACAGAGGAGAAGCAGAAACCGGGAGGAGGGCAAGTTGGAGTTGAGGTGGCCTGTCTCTCATCTTGATGTCTAAGCTGTTGGGGAATGGGACAGCTAACACTTCACAAATAGCTGTTTTATTTATTTACTTACTTATTTTTATTTTTTATGTGTGTGAGTGTTTTGCTTGAATGTAAGTGCTGTCACGCCATGCCTGTGGAAGCCACAAGAGGGCATCAGATCCCCTGGAATCGAAGTTACGGATGGTTGTTAGCTGTCATGTGGGTGCTGGCAACTGAACCCAGGTCCTCTGCAAGAGGAGCCAGTGCTCTTAACTACTGAGCCATCTCTCCAAAATTTCTAAAAGTTTTAGAAAAAAAATTTTTAAAAAAAATTTTATTTATTATTTTATGTGTATGCGTGTGTTGCCTACATGTAGGTAAGTGCATGCGTGTTGTGTGATGCCTGCGGAAGACAGAAGAGGCTTTTGGATCCCCTGGGACTGGAGTTACGGACAGTTGTTAGCTGCCATGTGGGTGCTAGGATTTGAACCTGGGTCTTCTGCAAGAACAACCAGTGTTCTTAACTGCTGAGCCAGCTCTCCAGCCCCAGAAAAAAATTTTTCAATACTGGGTGTCAAAATCCCAGCCTCAGGGTCCTGCATGGCAGGTAAGTGCTCATCACTGAGCCACACCCCCAAGCCCCAGAGACAGCTCTTCGTTTAATTGTCTGATCTCTGTCTACATAAATTTCTCCCTTCATTTAGTATTTGGAGGGTGAAGTCTTGTCTTTCATAACCCTGGAATTAGAGTGACCGTCCCTGAGGTAGTTTATGAATACTTCACTTTTGGCTTTTGCATTCTCTGTGGTAGTTGTGTGTATGAGTGTTTTGTCTGCATGTATGTAATTGCATCCATGTCATACAATGCCTGCAAAGGCCAGAAGAGGGCATCAGATCTCTTGGAACTGGGGCTATAGATGGTTGTGAGCTGCCAGGTAGGAGCTGGGAATCAAAACCGCGTCTGCTGCGGGAGCAGCCAGTGCTTTTAACCTCTGAGCACCTCTCCAGTCCCTGCTATTCTTTTTCTTTTCCAAAGTTTTGTCAGTGGCTCTGTTGGCCTTTTGGGCCTTTGCGATCAGAGAACCTGAAAGCGTCTGCTTTCTTCTTTGCTCAGAGCATCGCTGCACTTGTTTTTGCTGCTAGGGGATGAATACTAGGACCTTGCATATACTAAGCAGGGACTGCCACTGAGCCCAGCCCCAGCCTCAGGCCCTCAGCATGAAATATTAAAATATTTAAGTTTCTCTAGTTTTGTTTTCTTCAGCATTGGGTACCCGGTGCTCACAGCTCACAGGTATTAAGTGTGATTGAACACTGTGGCTGCCTTTTCTTGTCTTACATTGAAAAGCTATTGTGCTAATTATGGGCTCATATATAGTTATAAGAAGTGCTATAGAGGGGCTGGGGTGTAACAGCTCACTTGCAGTGCTTGGCTAGTCTGTGTAAGGCTGGGTTCATTCCCTGGCGCCACGAAGGGAAGAGTGCAGAGAGATGCCTGTACGTGTGCCAAGCGCAGCTGCTCTTTATGCTTCTGATTTATGTGCAGGCTGGGAAGTGGGCAGGCAGCTTGTTAGAATGACTGTGCGAGAATGACGGCCAGAGGACTTCTCTTAGAACGTAGGATGTATAGAATGAATCTTAGTTGCTTTTCTTGTCAAGTTTTAGTGGGTGTTTCAGAATGAAATGACCATGTTGTTTGAATTTTTAGTAACTGATACAGTATTTTCTTTTATACAAATGGAATTTTGTGCAAATTCTAATTATATAGCTGTGAAATCTTATTTTGATAATGATTAGCTGTTTCTCTCTGTGTTTTGTTTTAGGTGGTTTCACGAAGAAATCCAGAGGACGTCCAGGAGGTAACGTCGTGTCCATATGAAAATTCCATTTATCCACGTAGTAGAAGTTTACTTCAATACTTGTTGAAAAATCTGCCTGAGCTACTGCCTGTCAGAGCCTGGTCTGAGTGAAGATGCCTTCGGCTGCAGTCTTCCTTCGCACCCACTAAGTAGCTGTGAACTTGTATAAATAGGAGTACAGTGCTGCTCTCTTAACTAATACTCACAGGATTTCAGTATTAGTTAAGGGCTTCTCCTTACCCATCTCAGAATCATGAAGCTCATTTAGTAGAGCACAAGGAATTGCTGACTTAGGAGTTTTAAAGAGTGGCCCCGAATTGGTGAAGCGGCAGGCCTCCGCGCTTCCCTCTCACTTCTTGTCTTACTTCTTGTGCAAGCTTCCGTTTCCGTGCTTGCGCTTCTCCCCAGAACGGCGCCGTCCTGTGTCTTCTCCCCAGAATGGCGCTGGCCTGGAATGCTCTTCTGAGATGGTGGGGATCCTGCGGGATTTATTCTGGGCGTGCTGCATCTCTTTAGGAGGAGGACTTTGCCTCTTTCAGTGCTTCTTCATTTACTTTCATTTTGATTTCTGCTTGTTTCCAGTAACAGCAGTGCGATGCTGTAAATTTAACGTTCTCGATTCTGCAGCAGTGTTGATTTACCCCTGGTGGAATTTGAGTGTTTTTAGGTGGGGTGTGGATTTCTGTTTAGCCTTAGGTCCCCCTCTGAGGAATTCTTGGCTTGATTCATATATTTGAGTTGATTGTTCAATATTGATTGGCCCAAGTTCATTGTCACCTTGGTGTGTCTGACTTGGTATTTGTTTTCGTCTCATAATCGAAAAGTGTAGTAAAAGAACTTTAAAAAGAGTTCATACTGTTTTTCTCATGGGTTTTGAGAAATCTTCCCCAAATAGGAAGAAGAGGATGACACAGCCATGCCAGTGAAGGCGTTTTCCTTGTGATTAGTTGATCTCTCCTTATCTGACAGTAATTAATATCAATTATTCTTTAGAATTTTGCATGTTTAATTAATGACCATTACCAATTGACTCTGCTTTTGAAAATTTATAGCTCTGTTAAACTTGGAAATGGGTTGTTTTTCCTTTGAATGTGTCGTCTGATTGCTGTGCTGTGGTTTGTAGCTTGATGTTCCCCTTTTCCAGGGAGAATCCTGAACCAGCTTATCCATGAACACTCTGCCATTTCCTTAATCCTTTTTTGGGGAAAGTCTTTTATAATAACAACTGTTGGTGAACCATTCATCAGAAAGCTCTTGTAAGTGTCTTTCGGTTAGACAATTGCATGGTCTTTTTAAAGAATTGATATAAAAATTTTAAAGTCTTCTATCTTAGTTGACTTCTCAAATTATAGGATAATCTTGAGATTATAACAGTAGTTGTGCAGTTTCTAATTTATTTCATTTAGACATCTGCATTCTCATTTAGGAGTTTTTCAGTAAGACCCACTTCCTTTCCCTTTCTTTCTCTGTTATCTGATGGATTTAGTTTCTGCTTTAGAACATAGTCAGGTTTCCCAAAGGCTCCTGAGAGCTAGCAAACACACTGGTAGTTCAAGCAAGTTATGTCTAATAATATGCCTCCTTATAAGGCTGGGCACATTTTTCTGTTTTCCTTTTTTATAGAGCTTGACTGATTCCTCCAGATCCAAGTGTTTTTCTTCCTAAGAATGCTAAAAAATATTCACAGGGAGTAAATAATTTAATACTATCTAGGATACCTTCCCTTTTAAAATTCCCTCTAAATTTCTGAGAAAAAGGTGTGATGGAGAGATGACTCTGTTGGTGAAGTGCTTGCCATGCAAGCATGAGGGCCTGAGTTTGGATCCTGAGATTCCCACGTTTTTGCTGGTGCAGCAACGTGTGCTTGTAATCCCAGTGCTGGGGCTGTGGAGGCAGGTGTATCCCTGAGGCCCCTTGGCCATCCAGTCTAACTGAATTGGTAAGCTTCAGTTCATGAGAGATCCTGTCCCTGAGGCCCCTTGGCCATCCAGTCTAACTGAATTGGTAAGCTTCAGTTCATGAGAGATCCTGTCTCAAAAGATAAGGTAGAGAGCAACTGCAAATGACACCCGGTGTTCATCCCTGGCTTCCACATGCACTGCACACACGCACACACTTGAACATGCATAAAAGCATACACCAGCTGGTTGTGGTGGGGCATGCCTTTAGTCCCAGCACTTGGGAATCGGGGGCAGATGAATCTCTGTGAGTTCCAGCCTGGTCTACATAGTGAGTTCCAGGCCAGCTGGGGCTGCAGGGAGACCCTGTCTCAAAAAGACCAAAAAAAAAAAAAAAAGCATATACCACAATACGCACACACGCATGCACGGAAGGGAAAGCATGCATGAATCTGCAGTGATTAAGCAGCAGTGAACCTGTTGTCTTTCCTCAGTAGAATCCATAAATGGTGAGCAGTCTGCAGAAGGCTGAAGAAGGAGCTGGAGCTTTCTGAACCGTCACCTCCCGCTGTTTGTCTATAGGTGGCAGATTTCACTGGGAAGAAGGAAAGAACTTGTATGAATCACGTCAGACATCTCTAAGCTTTGTGTCTTTTCACAAATGCAGTAGTTTTAGAAAACAAGCACATAGGGAAATATATCAAGGAAAGAAGGCCCCGGAAAAGAGAAAAAGGAGGGCTGGTGAGATGAGTTCCACCTCTGGGATGAATGCGATGGAAGAGGGAACTGACTCCTGAAAGTTGTCCTCCGACTGACACACACACACACACACACACATGCATGCACACATAATAAATAAATATCTAATAAAAAGTGGGAAAAAAGGGGCTGAAAACCTGTAAGGAAATGCTATGACAGTCACAACATTTGTTGCAAGAAAAGATAATCCAGCACATTTTTAGCACTAAACGAAAGTGAGAAGAAGTTAATTAAACTAGGGTAAGGTTATAGACCACAAGGTCTAAACTGTTTTGGCATTACTAAGTTTAAGTATCTGAAGAAGAAACATTTATTATATGTAAAAATATTCTGGGGAATGTTTTAATGACAAATTGACTATTATTGAGTTTGTAGTCTGAATATGGTTGTCACTGAGTATGGGTAAATTTGCTTCAGACCGACTTTAATGAATGAGAAGTTTATGCAGCCTTGCTTCCCATCTTTTCTATTTTTTTTTTTTTTTTTTTTTTTTGGTCTTTTTGAGACAGGGTCTCCCTGTAGCCCCAGCTGTCTTGGAACTCACTATGTGGACCAGGCTGGCCTTGAACTCACAGAGATCGGCCTGCCTCTGCCTCCTGAGTGCTGGGATTAAAGGCGTGCGGCGCCACACCCAGCCTACTTAACATATTTTTAAAAATATAAAAATAACACCTTTTCTTATGAATTATGTTTATGAACGAGGACTAGAAGCTGCAGAACACGCGCTGAGATCGTTACAGGCCCTGCAGTGCATCCCCATCCTGAGACCCGACCTTTCAGGTGTTGGCTGGAGTGAGGGAGTTCCTTTTGCTCTTACTCTGACTGGAGCTATTGGTTCTTGCCAGTTAGCACTTGGCTTCTTCACTCCATCTAAAATGAGGTGTCTGTTTCTGTCCCAGTGGCCCGTTTCAGCACAGCCAGGCCTCTCACACATTGCACTTGTCCCCCAGCCTGGTCCTTTGTTCACCCACCAGTGTGTGCTTTGACTCTTCATTGCAAAGAGTTGACTGCTCCTGACTAGCTGCGGCCTATCTGCTGATGGCTCTGGAATGAGCAGATTTGGGAACTACACTATAAACCCATGTACTGGTTGGGCGGCTCATGAGGAGCTAAACCGGATGTGCCCAGCTGGCTTCTGTCTGGTCTCCAGCTGCTGCTCCCTTGTTCTCACTGCAGGGATGGGCACCTCCGTGAGCCAGCCGCCCAAGCCAGGATTCCAGGCTATGTCTTTGGCATCTTTCTTGCTGTAGAATCTTTGCTTGGAGTCTTCCCTCTGCTCCTCTGTGACCTTGTTCAGGCTGGAGGCTGCTGGGGGCCCTTTGCACTGCTCTTGTACTGTTCCTCAGCTTGATCAACCCACTGTGGGGTGCACACCAGGCTGGGGGGTGCACACTAGGCTCTGCGGGGTGCCCACTAGGCTCTGCGGAGTGCACACCGGGCTGCGGAGTACACACCAGGCTGTGGGGTGCACACTGGGCTGTGGGGTACACACCAGGCTGTGGAGTGCACACCAGGCTGACTTGCTCTTGCCCCTTGACTGTGGCTTCAGAAGTCGTGGCCCCTGCTCCTCCGCGTCTGACAGTATGGTGCCTCCAAAGCAGGACCATGAAAATACTTGTTTGGGTGACTGTTTTTGCTTGCTGAGTAAATGAATAAAAATGAAACGTTGGGCAAAAGTAGCTTGTTGAATTCATGCTGTATGTAGTTTGTGGAGCCTTTCAGGGCTGTAACTATGGAAGCCAAGAAATAGTAATCAAGTAGACCTGGTCAGGGGACAGAGTTTGCTGAAGAGGTTTGTGCATACAGAGAATAGGCTTTGTAGCAAGACATAACATCATGCCGGGTCGTGTGCCTAGTATTTGCTCATCAGCATTACACTTCATTGCGCATGAAAATGTTCCACATTTGTTGGAAATAGGGTCAGGGCTTTTGAAAGGAAAGAAATTTAGAGCTTAGTTTTTCCTTACTTTTTGGAGACATCAGGGCTGATTCAGTGACATCAAGGCCATGTGTCAAATCCTTCCTTTTTATAAAGCCTTCTTTAATCTAAGTAGGGTTAAATAATTGAAGCTAATGACAGCAGACGGCTCCATGTTGTCTAATCTAGATGATTTGTTTTTTGCAATATACTAGTTTTTTAATATTTTATTTATTATTTCTATTATATGTGTACGAGTGTATTGCCTGCATGTATGTAAGTGAACCTATGTAATGCAGTGCCCATGGAAGTCAGAAGAGGGCATCAGATCCTCTGGAGCAGGGTTAAGGATGGTTGTTAGCTCCCATGTGGGTGCTGGGAATCGAACCTGGGTCCTCTGCAAGAGTAGCCAGTGGTCTTAACTGCTGAGCCATCTCTCCAGCCCCTGTAATATGCTGGTTTTAATGATACTATGGTTAGTGTTTACTTTGTCCCCAGAAATCTTATGGTTCATTTAAATTAGGATTTGATGAAAGCAGTGGGCTGCTTGCTTTCCACTCGCTCTTCTCCCTCACTCAGTCTGGTATCTTTTGTGGGCAAATGCTGAGTATGTCCTTTGTGTTTTACAGCTGCCTGAGCTCCCTTCCCAGACTGGGATTTTATTTCTAGCAGTCCAATGAGATGTTTCACGTTTTCCCCTAGGGCTCAGGTGAAGGCACACTGGGCTGCAGAGGAGCAATAGGAAAGTGATGGCAAGCCTCTTGGTGCCTGGGATTGGGAGAGCTCCAACGTCAAGGCCCTGGTGCCCGGACCATGTGTGGACTCAAGACCACAGCGGCCCTCAGGGGAAGTGGGAAGTCCTTGAGAGTCAGTCCTCCCAAGAATAGAATCTGCACGTGGCACAAACTGCCCTGCCCCCAGCACGAGCCCAGTGCAGAGGCAAAGGGACCTTCTGCCCGATTCTTCTGAGGCAGAATGGTTGTTAGCGAGTTCATTGCCAGGCCAGGGAAGGGTACATGGTGTTTACAAATGGTGCATTTTTTTTTTTTTTTGTCTTTTTGAGACAGGGTCTCCCTGTAGGTCCAGCTGGCCTAGAACTTTGCTGTGTAGACCAGGCTGATCTTGAACTCACATAGATCCACCTGCCTCTGCCTCTGCTGGGATTAAAGTCATGTGCCACCACGCCCAGCCACTACTTCATATTTTTAAGGCAAATCTTAGCCCAATTCAGGCCATTAACTCTGTAGGTTAGGGTGTTTGTTTCCTTTGTCTGGTAATTTGGAAAAAAATTAATAGAAAGATTATGACTCAGGTTTTGTACACTGAATGGTTTCGCTTTGAAATACACATTTATTTTTTTTCTCTCTCCAGATAATTGTATGGAAGAGGTATAGTGACTTTAAGAAACTGCACAGAGAACTGTTGCAAATTCACAGAAACTTATTCCGACATTCAGAATTGTTTCCTCCATTTGCTAAAGGAATAGTGTTTGGTAAGTATGTGCTTTGATATTGTAATTTAATGTAAGTTGTTTCTCTTCCCTTGACAGACTGGGATTGCCTGGTACTGGGCAAGTGCTCTGCCACTGAGCCTGAGCCAAAATGGCTTCCTGTACTGAACCCAGATCCACTGATCTGTGCCGTCAGAGGCCCCTCACTCGCTAAGGTCATTCCCTGATCCACTGATCTGTGCCGTCAGAGGCCCCTCACTCGCTAAGGATCATTCCCTGATCCACTGATCTGTGCCGTCAGAGGCCCCTTCACTTGCTAAGATCATTCCCTGATCCACTGATCTGTGCCGTCAGAGGCCCCTCACTTGCCAAGATCATTCCCTGATCCACTGATTTGTGCCGTCAGAGGCCCCTCACTTGCTAAGATCATTCCCTGATCCACTGATCTGTGCCGTCAGAGGCCCCTCACTTGCTAAGATCATTCCCTGATCACTGATCTGTGCCGTCAGAGGCCCCTCACTTGCTAAGGTCATTCCATGATCCACTGATCTGTGACATCAGAGGCCCCTTACTTGCTAAGATCATTCCCTGATCCACTGATCTGTGCCATCAGAGGCCCCTTACTCGCCAAGATCATTCCCTGATCCACTGATCTGTGCCGTCAGAGGCCCCTTACTCACCAAGATCATCCTGTTGTTTAGCCCGTGGCGTTGCTTCTTCACGTTCTGTGCACAGTTCACACAGAGCCAGTGACTTGTCCCTTCGGGGTCGCTCCATCTCTGACTCTAGGAGTCTAAGAAAAGAGTTCAGTTGTGTGTGTGTGTGTGTGTGTGTGTGTGTGTGTGTGTGTGTGTGCCCGTGCGTGCGTGCGTGTGCGTGCGCAATGGCGGGCTCTGTCCTCAGAGCACCATGCCTCCTGTCCCAGTGTGAAGTGTAGTGTCTCTTTACTTGCGAGTATGCCCTTAGTTGCAGCTACTTTATCCGTATTAACCTTATCTGAAATTTTAAATGTAGTTGTGCTACCAGATTTCACATTGTTCTCTGCTCCCTTTCTCTCTAAAAACCTGGCTGAACTGCAGTGAGAAGTGATTGTGCCACAGCCTAGATGCTGTGCTGCCTTGGAATTTCCTCTGCCGAATAAATTACTCTGACTTGAGAATTCAACCTCTTTCAGTTTTCACACCAGCAGGATGTAGCCAGATTCTCAGGCAGAGTCTAACACACATGGCTTCTAGCTGAATTCCTGGTGATCTCTATCAGTGTCTGTGTTTCTACAACCCTGCCAGAATGTTCCATTAAGTTCTGCTTACAGCACGGTACGCTTCTCTAGCTTAGAAGTCCAGGCTCTCACAGCCCCTCAGACCAGTTCTGAAGGCCTGCGGACTGCGCAGCACATAGCCACCCTCAGTACCAGCTTTCTGAATCAGCTCCTTTGCTGTGACAGAACACCTGACCCAGCCAGCTCATGGGGGAAGAGTGTGTTTGGTTCCTAGTTCAGACCCCTGTAGGGGTCTGTGTAGGCAGGACTTGCAGTGGTGACTTCTCAGGTGCTGCTCACCAGGAAGCAGAAGACAACGACTGTAAGGAGGGCCAGCCAGAGGCCCTCAAGGCTTGCCCCTAGGTAGTCTGTGCCCGTCACCTAGACCCTGTTTCTCAGAGGTTCCATAGGTACCCATGAAAGTGCTACCAGCTAGGGACCAAGTATTCAATATGTGAGCCTGTGGGGGATGTTTTCTACCCAAATCAACAACGTATTTGTGTCATCCTGTCTGAAACTGTGTCAGGGTTGGTCAGTGTAACCTTAGCAAAAGTGATGGAACCTCATTTCTGAGATTTGGCAACAAAGGCCTATGGCTTCTCCCTTGAGGTGTCGTCCCTCCTTCCCTCCCTCCCCCTCCTTCCTTCTCCCTTCCCTCCCTCCTCCTCCTCCTCTCCATTCTTCTTCCTTCCCACCTCTCTCTTTCTCCTCCCCCCTCCTCCTTTCCTGTCCCTCCTCGTTTCATTCCCTCCCCCTCCCTGTCCTTGGTTTGAGAGTTACCAGCTTTCTTATTTGAAGATACTGGCAGCCTGGGGGGAGGCCCACATAGTAAGAAATGGTGCCTCCAGTCATCAACCACCAGGCATGAAAGGTGCCACAGCCCTGTGAGTGGACTCCCGAGCAGGTGCCCAGTGCTGGTTTAGGTCAAGGTGCTGTAGTCCTGCTGAGGGGTAGTACCCGCCCATGACAGGCCCTGAGCTCCAGCCACCCAGCTACGCCACCTTTTGGTCCCTAACTCTCAGAGACTGTGTGAGGTAGTAACTGCTTGTCATTGTGATTTGCTACTTAGTAATAAGTACTTAATGGATTTTGTTGCTGGAAAATGGGGTTCCTGTCAACCAAACCCACAGATGTTGACTGTGGTTTGGATTTGCCATGGACTTTGAGGAAAGTTACTCAACACCTTGAGGGAGTGACTAATGGAGAGACATGGTTTTGGTAGACCTGAAGGTCCAGGCCTACCAGGAAGCTAGTGAGTGCTGCTGGAACTAGGAGAGGAGAGCTCTTACATCCTTGCCGAAAGCTCAGCGACACTGTGGCCCACAGTCATGTGGGGGATAATGCGCTGAGGTGCCAACATCATAGCCAGTGTAAAGTGTGGTGTGTTTGCTTCTTATTTCCTGGTGAAATATGAGAAGAGAGGGAGAACTTGACTAAAAGAAGGGTTATTTAAAAGAATAGTTCTAGGACTTGTTTTGGAAATGTTCAATCTTTCCAGGTGGCAAACTGTGAAGAAGGACTTTGGAGCAAAGCTCAGTGACAGAACCGGCCAGGCAAACTGGTCTAAAGATGAAGCCCAGTGTGAACTTGTATTTGTTAAGACCTCAGAGAGATGCAGTGTCCTAGTTTGTCTCTCCATTGCTGTGACAAAACACTCTGACCACTGCGAACTTGGGGAGGAAAGGGTTTGTTTGTCTTATATCTCCCAGGTCACAGTTCATCAGGAGCACAAGGAAGGAACTTAGGGCAGGGACCTGGAGGCAGGAGCTGGAGCACAGGCCATAGAGGAACACTGCTTACTGGCTTGCTCCCTGGCCCCTGCTCAGCCTGCTTTCTTATGCGACACAGGCCCACCTGCCCAGGGGTGGCACCACCCACAGTGGGCTGGGCCCTCCCACATCACTCAACAATCAAGAAGATGCCCCGTGGACATGGCCACAGGCCAGTCCAATGAAGGCAATTCCCCAGCTGAGGCCCCTCAGCCCAGTGTGTCAAATTGACACTACAGCATCCAGCACATGCGGTTAGGCTGAGTGCCCTCTAACAAGGTGAAGTGTGTCTTACAGATAGCACAATAGGGCTTCATGGAAGTACTAGCTTCAGCCAGCGGCCAGCATTAGAAGAGCCTCAGTTGAGGATAACTCAACTGAGGCCAGAGTTTGAGGTAAGCCTTGAGGAACTTTTTGGGGATGACCTTTGTCTAAATAGCAAGCTCCAAAAAGTGTCGCAGGAGACCCACAAATTCCTAATTTCACATGGACTGATAGGCACAGAAGCAGCACAAAGTGAGAGACACTTGAAACCTCCACTGTGCTGACAGGAAGCATGCTGTGCTAGCATCCCTGCTGCCTTCATTGAAAAGAACATATGGCCCAGAGGGCAGAGCTACATCCCAGAGGGTGGAATCCATGGCCCGGAGGGTAGAGCCACATCCCAGAGGGCAGAGCCACATCCCAGAGGGCAGAGCTACATCCCAGAGGGCATAGCCACATCCCAGAGGGCATAGCCACATCCCAGAGGGCAGAGCCACATCCCAGACGGCAGAGCCACATCCCAGAGGGCAGAATCCATGGCCCAGAGGGCAGAGTCACATCCCAGACGGCAGAGCCACATCCCAGACGGCAGAGCCACATCCCAGACGGCAGAGCCACATCCCAGACGGCAGAGCCACATCCCAGACGGCAGAGCCACATCCCAGACGGCAGAGCCACATCCCAGACGGCAGAGCCACATCCCAGACGGCAGAGCCACATCCCAGAGGGCAGAATCCACGGCCCAGAGGGCAGAACCACATCCCAGACGGCAGAGCCACATCCCAGAGGGCAGAGCCACATCCCAGACGGCAGAGCCACATCCCAGACGGCAGAGCCACATCCCAGAGGGCAGAATCCACGGCCCAGAGGGCAGAGCCACATCCCAGAGGGCAGAATCCGTGGCCCAGAAGGCAGAGCCACGTCCCAGAGGGCAGAATCCACGGCCCAGAAGGCAGAGCCACGTCCCAGAGGGTGGAATCCACGGCCCAGAAGGCAGAGCCACGTCCCAGACGGCAGAATCCACGGCCCAGAAGGCAGAGCCACAGCCTTGGAGGATCTCCCAGCCCATGGGACTTCATGAGAGAACTTCCAACATTTGTCCCATTGGATATCAGAGTGACTGTGGACCACTCGCCTCCTTCATGCCTCCCATGCGTGTTCTTCTGTTTTTACTGGGACACCTGTGTCAGGAAGCCCATGCCTCGCTTTTTGTTTCAGGTGCTCATCTTAATTTTTTTCTGCTCCCTGAGAGTCCCGTTGTTTTTTGTGCAGAATGATGTTAGAGATGATGCCAGTCACTAACTTACTACATTTTAGCCATAGGCTGCTGTGATTGCCCTGTTGGGCCTCCCTGTCTTCCAAACACGTCTGTTGTTTCCCCTCTCAAGCCCAAGCATTCCTCAGAGTTCTCTTGTCCTTCTTAGTTAATCATGGCCCGTAGAGCCACATCCCAGAGGGCAGAGCCACATCCCAGACGGCAGAGCCACACCCCAGAGGGCAGAATCCACGGCCCAGAGGGCAGAATCCACGGCCCAGAAGGCAGAGCCACGTCCCAGAGGGCAGAATCCACGGCCCAGAAGGCAGAGCCACGTCCCAGAGGGTGGAATCCACGGCCCAGAAGGCAGAGCCACGTCCCAGACGGCAGAATCCACGGCCCAGAAGGCAGAGCCACAGCCTTGGAGGATCTCCCAGCCCATGGGACTTCATGAGAGAACTTCCAACATTTGTCCCATTGGATATCAGAGTGACTG